CCCGCCGGGGGCGGGGGGCCTGCCGGCCGCTCGCGGAGCCCCCCGGGGCGCGGCGGCTACACTGTGTCTGCGCCGCGCTACAAAGTATCCGCGCAGCAGGCCTGCGGTTACGGTTGCTGCCGGGCCCCGGGGAAGGCGCTGGAGCCCCGGAGAGACGAAACCCGCTTTCAAGCGGTTTCTCGTCCTGCACGTTGTGTGGTTTTTTGTTTTTTTAATCCCCTTGTTTCTCTGTGGGGGAGGGGTGAGCGCTGACTCGAAGAAAGTTCGGAGACGCAGAGGCCGCTGCGGTTCTGTTTTGATCTGGAGCTCTGGGCGAGCCCGTCCTCCTCCCCGGGCCTGACCCTCGGGCTGGGGGGTGTGGTTCACATGCCCGGGGGGGTCACGTGCCTTGGGTGCCTCGGGTTGGAAATGATAGGTTTTGGGCTGAATTAAATCCAGCCTTTTAGAAAAGTTGCTGCAGTAGGAGGAACACGATTCCTTCGTGGTCCGCTTTCCGTTTTGGCTTGGATGTCCTACCCACTTCGGAACCCCTCCCCGAGCTAGCGAGCGGGGGTGCAGGGAAGTGGGTCCTGACCCCCGTGGGGAGATCCCGATGGAAAGAACCTCCTTGAGTGTCAGGTCAGGTTCTCGCGCTTCGCCCCCTTCCTGAAGGACTGTTTGGAGGGAATGTTCTGTCCCCCAGATGTGGCTCTTGTAGGTGGTGTGGTTACCTAGGCAGCCAGGCCGGGCCTGCCTTCTGTGGAGGGCTTGGAGACCTTTTCCAGAAAGGCCATTTTATGTAAAACACTTCCCGTGTCTGCGGCCCCCCAGGGAGCAGGAAGCAGTGAGTCGCCCTGGCTTAGCAGTCGGGGAAACTGCGTGCTTTTCATTCTTTCAGTGTTTCTGGGAAGTTTTCTCTGGCTCAGTGAGGTCTTTTAAAGTCTGTTGACGCTAGTCCATGAGGTTTTTCTTTATAGTGGAGAGGTGAAGGCTCTGGGGGAGGTGGTAGCGAGAATGCATGCGAGCAGATGAGGGCAGCAGCTGGCAGGACTGGGGTGCAGGGCTTTGGGGGCCCCTGCCCGAGGGGGTCAGGGCCATCGAGTCGGCTCCCTAAGGGCAGGAGTGAGGGGAGGAGGAGCTCTGAGAACTTTGGGGGAAGGCTGCAGGGGGGCGCCTCTGCGTCGTGTTCCCAGCCTGAGGCCAGCCATCCCTGGCTTGCTGGGTGAGGGGGACATGGTTGGTGACATCACGGAGGCTCTGGTCACGGGAGCGCTGGGCCTTGGTGGCCAGGTGACCTGGTGGGGGGCGTTGCTGACTCAGTTCCCTTCCTGGACGGATGCTCTGTGAGTCATTCTGGCTCTCGCCAGTTTATATCTGCCACGTGGAGGCCGTTGGGGGGCTCCCGCTCGGTGCTGGGAGCTGGCCTGGTGTGGTCTGGGCTCTTGGCGGCAGGCACCTCGGCGGCCATGCTGTCCTCCTGCCTCCCTGCGCAGGGCCCGAGGCAGCCAGGGGAAAGTCCAGTCACGCGGGGCTGGGTTGATGAGTAACTTGTGCGGGTTTTATCTGACGGTTTCCAGTGTGCCACCTCTTCCTCCGTGGAGGCTTCTCTTTGAACCTCGAGTCCCCAGGGCCAGCCGTCTCACGGGCTCGCCTTCCTCTGAGCATTTCCAGTTTTTAGAAAGCGAACAACAGCACTCGAGCTTTCACAGCAAGCCTCAGGCGTCCCCCTGGGGCTTTTGGAGGGGGCGTCTTTGTCCTCGGCCGGTCCGGGGGCGGGGCCTGGGGTCCTGCTGGGAGGGAGGGGAGCAGAGGACAATGATGGCTCCTTTTCAAGTTGAGCTGCCGCGACCGCTCACTTTTCTGCCCCAGGCTTTCCAGTTAGGAGAGCCTGGGGGGGGGGAGCGTGTGCAGCCAGAGGAGCCGCGGCGGTGGCGGTGGCGGCGGCGGGCTCTCCCCCTCCTGGGCCGGGGGGCCGCACACCTGGCTAACCATCTCCTTTTCTCTCTCTGCAGCATTGTCCCAGACATAGCAGTTGGTACAAAGGTAGGCACCGCTGAGTTGGCTTTCTCCTTGCTTGCCCTGTCTCTGCGTCTGCTGCACAGCTTGGCGCGCTGGCCTGCAGCGGCTCCCGGGCTTCACAGTTTGCTTCGAGGCGGGGGGTTTGCGGGCCAGTCTCTCCTCAGACACGTTCCTCTGCCCCGTCAGCATCAAGTCCGTCTGGGCTGTGCGTTTCCAGCTGAGGGGGTTGGGTGGCCTGTCGCAGGAAAGGCACCTTTGGTCTCAGTTTGGGCCCCTCCTGGCCTTGAAACCCAGAGCCGGCCGGATCTCTGCGCGGACCAGCTCTTGGTTAAGTGGGACGTGTGATCAGGGCCCACCAGGAGGTCTGCCCAGCATGTTTTGAGGGCCGTGGTTTGGTATGGGACAAGTTGGAATCTGTTTGCCCCCCAAGGAGTTTGTGGGGTGGGTGGTGGGATTAGAGGGCACATGGAGGCCCTGGGACAGCTAGGGGCTGCTGTTGTCGGGTCGTGGATAAGTTTTGCTCTGGAACATCCTGTAGGGTGTGTCAAGGTAAAGGGAGGTGAAGGCGCTCTCTTCTTTAGCTGCAGCTTTTGCTGGTCTGACCCACCGTGGGGACGGTGACCAGGCTCCTGCCCCACAGGAGAGGGGCCGGCGGTCCTCCCCCAGGGGTGCCCCCAGGAGCGGGGGGTCCGGGAGCTGCTGGCAGGCGCCGCTGATTGGTTGGTTGACAGCTCAGGACAGGGTTTTGGCCATGGCTGGGTGGTGCCCCTCTCGGGCTGTGTCCTGAGCCCTGAGCCCCTGCAGGCGGCCCGGTGTCCGAGCTGGCGGCCGTGGTGCCTGGGCTGAGTTTCGGTTTCCCTCAGTGGGTTCTTGTTCTCAGATGCTGCGTGTCAGGTCCTCCTCCGGATAAAACCCGTTGTTCTCGGGCAGGTGGAGGGAGATGGTCTCTGGGCTGAGACGTTGGTAACCGTTACGGAGAACGTAACCTCTTCCCACCTTCTGTGGGGTCTGCTAGGTTTCAAGCTGGAGCAGCTCTCACCTGTCCCATCTCGTCCCCAAGGGACTTTGGCTTCCAGAAGCTGGCTGCACGGGACAGAAACCCGGTGGGGGAGGCTCCCTCTGCCGTCCTCCGCCCCGGGGTTAGGACGAGCTGTGTTGTAGCGACAGGCGTCAAGGGCCGTGATGACGCGCAGCCGTGGATGAAGAAGAGACAGTTGCCCCGCTGTGCGGAGCAGGATATGCCCTGTCCCCAGCAGCAGGGATACCCGAGCCAGCCTGGCTGGTGTCCCCTCAGGGTTTTGCCCCATGGAGTGTCGCCTGAGTGGGCCATCCCCTCGTGAGCCGCTGTCGCCGCCTGCGCCGGGGGTGCTGCGTGCAGACTGGGCCTGTGTCCTGGGGGTGGGGGGCGAGCAGTCTGCCCCAGGGGTGTGGGAGTGCCAGGCCACCTGCCATGGGAACACGATCAGGGCCAAGAATGCCACGGCTCCGAGGAAGCGGGCCCCGCCCGTGTGTCAGGAACCCAGAGGCGCGAAGGTGGTGGCGGCCCCAGGAGCGTGGGGTGCCGGCCTGTCCTGCTCTGGCTCTGGCGGGAGGGGTATGTGAGCCTGAGGAAGGGGAGCTTGGGGGCGGGGTGGGAGGGGCTTTCCTGTGGCCTAGACAGCTGGGGTGCTTGGGGTGGGGAGGGGCACAGAACGGCTGCTCCGTGTGCTGGGAGTCTGCTTTCCTTCTGGCTCTTGCTCAGGGAAGGTCCCTGGCTGGTCTGCCTTCCCCGCTCCTGAGCGTCTAGTGGCCCCATGTCCTCGGGGAGGGAGCCCAGTGGTGGCATGGGGGTTGGTTCTGAGAGTGCCCTTGTTGGCATCAGACCCCAACTCCCGGGCAGACAGGTTCTGTGTTCGCTCTCTCCCCGGGGGCTTTGGGTCCCCACCCCCGATTCTCAGCCTTTGCTTCTGTGGTAGAGGGCAGCATGGCCTCGGGCCTGCGGCCTACAGCAGAGCAGAATTGGGGGCCCCGGGGGGGGGGGCTGCAGACACTCCCCCAGCTGGGGGTCTGGTTCGGGGACCTGCCCACAGCAGCGGGCCCGGCAGTGTCCACGTCATTGTGGCCGTTCCTGCTCTGTGTCCCGAAGGGCAGTTTGTCCACCTTCTCGGCTTTCTTCGGCCGCTGTCTGTGGTGGGCAGGGCTGGGCGGGGGTCTGGGGCACCTCAGCACCTGGGAAGAGGGGGGGCCTTGCGGCCCTGGGCGGGGCGGGGTGGGATGTCCTCTGTAAGAGGCCGCTGGGCTGGTAGTTTGGGGGAAGGGCGGAGATAAGGCGTCCTTGAGACCAGGGGTGGGGGAAAGTTCTGCCCCAGAGCTGCCTGTTCCTGCTGCGGGAGCGGAGGGCTCGCTGGGGGCCGGGGACCCTTCCCTGCCCGCCGGGCACACGTCCAGAGGTGGTTTGAGGAGTCGCTGGGGTGGCTCTGTCCTGGCCGCCCCTGGGCCTGGGCTGCAGCCGTAGAAGTGGGCGGCGGGGCCCAGACCCGGGCGCTCCGTCCACGGGCCGGCCGCAGTCTCGCCCGCTTCTGCTCCCGAGTCGGGTGGCTGTGTCCTGGGGCCTGTACTCCAGGGCCTGTCTGATGTGTTTCTGGGGAGTTGATTCGATTAGGTTGAGACTAATGAGTAAACGAGTTGTTTCTGGAAAGAAGTTGGTCTGTCAGAAGGTGCAGAGAGCCCGCTCGTCACCCCGCCCCGCTCACTGCAGGGCCGCCTGCTGCCCGGGGGCGTCTCTGGTCCCCGGAAGTGACAAGTGACGGGGCCGAGGCTCAGGTTCCTCAAGCTGGAAAATAGGACGGCTCCGGCAGTGGGGCAGGCGGCTGTGGCTGACAAGGGGGCTTTGTTCCTGGTGGAGCGAGGGGGCGCGGTGCTCATAGGTTGCGGGGCTGTCAGGGGCAGCTGCCCTGAGGGCCTTGTCTGCAGCCCCAGGCGGGGTCGTGCAGGACCTGGAGGTGGGAGTGGCACGCAGAGCCCGCTGCAGGCGACAGGTCCCCCTGCCCCCACCTTGGAGAAACCCCAGGGAGCTGGCAGGCTGGACAGAGCAGTGTCCTGGGATTCAGGGCCGCGGGCCTGGGCAGGGAGGACTGGGTGCTTCTCTGGGGGGCTGCAGAGCTGCGGGCGGGGGCCTGGGAGGAGGGCCGGGCTGCGGGCGAGGCCGCCATGCTCCACTCGCCCCCTCTCTTCCAGCGGGGATCTGACGAGCTCTTCTCTGCCTGTGTCACCAACGGACCCTTTATCATGAGCAGCGGCTCAGCCTCCGCAGGTAAGGCCCATGGCCCCGTGGGGGACACGCCCGCGGTGGGGGGGATGAGCTGGGAGCCGCAGTCCACATGGGAGACGGGCGCCCCCGGGCGGCGTGGAGCTGGTCTGGGAAGGGGGTCTTTGGCCTTGAGGGAGCCTGGGAGGTACTTGTGCCACTCAAACCGCCCTCTTCTCAGCTAACGGAAATGATAGCAAGAAGTTCAAAGGTGACAACAGGAGCTCGGGCGTGCCCTCAAGGGTGATCCACATCCGGAAGCTCCCCAGCGACGTCACTGAGGGCGAGGTCATCTCTCTGGGGCTTCCTTTCGGGAAGGTCACCAATCTCCTGATGCTGAAAGGGAAGAACCAGGTACCTGCCCCCCCGCACTGGGGGCCTGTGGGGGGCTTCCCCGGTGCTCCCAGCTCACAGCCCTGCCCCGCCAGGCCTTCATCGAGATGAACACGGAGGAGGCGGCAAACACCATGGTGAACTACTACACGTCCGTGACGCCCGTGCTGCGCGGCCAGCCCATCTACATCCAGTTCTCCAACCACAAGGAGCTCAAGACTGACAGCTCGCCCAACCAGGCGGTGCGCCCGCGGGGCTGGGGCAGGTGGGCGGGAAGGCGGGAAACGAGCCTGTGGGGTGGGCCTCACGCTCACGGCCCTGCCCCCACAGCGGGCCCAGGCAGCCCTGCAGGCCGTGAACTCTGTGCAGTCGGGCAATCTGGCCCTGGCCGCCTCAGCCGCCGCAGTGGACGCCGGGATGGCGATGGCTGGCCAGAGCCCGGTGCTCCGGATCATCGTGGAGAACCTCTTCTACCCGGTGACCCTGGACGTGCTCCACCAGGTGAGCGGCCCCCGCCTGGGCTGGGGTCGGGGCTGGCGGCTGTGGTGGGGCAGGGCGTGACTCTTCTCTCTTCCAGATCTTCTCCAAGTTCGGCACCGTGCTGAAGATCATCACGTTCACCAAGAACAACCAGTTCCAGGCACTGCTGCAGTACGCCGAGCCTGTGAGCGCCCAGCACGCCAAGCTGGTGAGTGCCCCCCACTCTCGATGCCCAGCCGCCGCCCACGGCCCACATAGCCCGCTCACTGCCTCTCCCCGCAGTCGCTGGATGGCCAGAACATCTACAACGCCTGCTGCACGCTGCGCATCGATTTCTCCAAGCTCACCAGCCTCAATGTCAAGTACAACAACGATAAGAGCCGTGACTACACGCGCCCCGACCTGCCCTCCGGCGACAGCCAGCCCTCGCTCGACCAGACCATGGCCGCCGCCTTCGGTGAGGCGCCGGGGCGCCCAAGCGCCATGCGCGGGGGGCGAGGACCTAGCTCAGTCAGTGCCCGGCCTAGGGGCCCCGCGCGGCCAGCGCCCACGCGGCGGAGGAGCGGCCCTGCCCGCAGCGGCTCCGGGCAGCCCGCGCGGGGCAGTGGGAGCGATGATTAGTGTCTCGTTTGTTTCCAGGTGCGCCCGGCATAATGTCAGCCTCTCCGTATGCAGGAGCTGGTTTCCCTCCCACCTTTGCCATCCCTCAAGCCGCAGGTACTCGCACACTCGCTCTCGTCCCCACAGCCGACCTGCATGCCCACACACCTTTCCAGTAGCTCTGCTTCACGGGCGGCCGGCGTGGGTGCCGCCCCGGGAGCCCCTTCCTGGGCGAGGCCCGGGGTCCCCGAGGAGCCTGGACAGGGCAGGTGTAGGCCAGGCCGCGCAGAGCCGGCTAACCCCGCAGTCTCTGGTCTGTTCCCTTCAAGCGCCCGCAGGGCCAGGACGAGTGCGAACGGTGGTTGGAGGGATGTGTCCCTAGTAGAGGCAGTTGAGTGGCCGGGTAAGCGGAGCGCATGAGCCAGCGGGCACGCCTGCGCGTCCCTCCCGGGCCTGGGTGTCCACCCACGTGACGGTCACGAGCCTGCTGTGGCGTGCCGGCCTGTCGTCTGCATGGTGACGGGTACCTGCATGCACGCGGCCGAGGCCCGCGGGCCGGATCCTGCGTCCGTGGAGCCGGAGCTTCTGTGCTGTTTGGCGCATGTAGACGGGTCCGAGCCGGCTGACCTGTGCCTCGAGGAGAGGACGGAGCGCCATAGGCCTGGCAGGGCCGAGAGCGACCAGGCACCTGCGCGGCTCCTTTGCATGAGGAGGGGCAGGGCCCACGCTCCCTCTCGGGTCCTGGTGCTGCTGCTCACCGGCCGCCTCTTTCTCCGCAGGTCTCTCCGTCCCCAACGTGCACGGGGCCCTGGCCCCTCTGGCCATCCCGTCAGCGGCGGCGGCCGCGGCAGCAGCGGGCCGGATCGCCATCCCAGGCCTGGCAGGGGCGGGAAACTCTGTCCTGCTGGTCAGCAACCTCAATCCCGAGGTAGGTGGCCCCTCCCAGGGCGTCCCCCCGGGCCCTAGTGCAGGTGGCAGACGGGTTGGGCCCTGTCACCCCAGCCCCGCCCGAGTCGCGCTGTCCCCTGCAGCCCCTCTGCGCTGACGTGGCTCCCGCGTCGATCTTTCCTCAGCGCGGAGCTCTCCTGTTTCTTGAGCATCTTGAGTTACGTTTCCAGTTCCGTAGCACTCTGAGTCGCATGTTTTCTGGTTCACAAAAGCGGGGCTAACAGTTAGAGCTCGGCCGGCCCACAGGCGCTTCTGCTCGGGGGGGCATGGTCCATGGTCCCCGGGCCGGCGACCCCACGTGGCTCCATGGCCCAGTTAGGCCTAGAGAGCCGGAGGAAGTGTAAAGGCTCCCGGTATTTACCTCGGAAGACGGGGTTCGCGTGTTGTCAGCCTCTCAGACTGTCCTCTGTCTGTCTGACCGCTCCTGTGACTTCTCGGCCTGAGGGCCAGCGCCCGGGAGCCCTGTGCGGCCTGAGTCGGGCTCCGGCAGAGCCTCCACTAACAGAGCAGCCAGCTTGTGTGAGCGAGGCCGCCGCAGCGGAGGAGGCACCGGCGAGCGGCCTGGGCACAGGAGGCCGTGCCGGGCGCCGGTGCCTCCTGCTCGCGGGCAGGCGGGCCTACCTGGCAGCCCCGGGCCCGTGTGCGTGTGGAGCTTGACTGTGGAACACTATGGATTCTTATGTATTTACTGACCTGTGTTTTTTGCTACTTTTTTCTTTTCTCCCCTTCCCCTCTCCCAATTTTTTTTCTTGCCCTGATCCGGAATTTCTTTGCCAACTGACTGCACGGTTCTTCTGCTTCCGTTGTTGCTTGAAACAAAACAAAACCATAAATAAATAAAAACAAAATTCCCCCTCAAACCCTGCTCTCCGGAAACCAACCTGCCCTTGAATATTAACATCCTGACAACTTCATCATCCATCAACTGCACGCCTGCCTCCTCGTGGTGGACGATGGCTCCTCGCTCCCTGACCTCTCCCTTTCCCTGTCCCTCCGCTGCCTTGCTCTGCTGTCCTCTAAAGAGAGTCACACCCCAAAGCCTCTTTATTCTCTTCGGTATGTTATCATTCACACTTTTATTACTTTGTTTTCGTTTAATGGAGTTCCCTTTGGCGGCCTCGGCCCGCACGCGCGTGGCTTGCCTGCGGTTTGCGTACGTGCCCGCCGCCGCAGACCGCGTGGTGGTCCCCGCATGCCCGCAGAGTTAAGCGTGTGGTAGCATGCTGGTGGTGGCTCTGGCAGGTGGCCTGTCCTGGACTTTATGACTTGTTGCTGAAGGTCGTCCTCCTGGTGACGCCCCTGTGACTAGACGCAGGTCCCCAGAGGCAGACTAAGCAAGCCTGCGGGAAGAGCCAGCCCCGTGAGGGGGAGCGGGCGCGGGGGCTGGCGGGGAGGCGGTGGCGGGGCCCGCAGCTCAGCCTGTCCCTGCGCTTTTGAAGGCGTGTACGGCGACGTGCAGCGGGTGAAGATCCTGTTCAACAAGAAGGAGAACGCGCTGGTGCAGATGGCCGATGGCAGCCAGGCCCAGCTGGGTGAGGGCCGGGCCCCTGGCGGGCGCGGGTGGGCGGGCGGGCAGGTGGCAGGCCTCGGGCCTCACGCGTCCACGCGGGTCTGCCCCGCAGCCATGAGCCACCTCAACGGGCACAAGCTGCACGGGAAGCCGGTGCGCATCACGCTGTCGAAGCACCAGAACGTGCAGCTGCCCCGGGAGGGCCAGGAGGACCAGGGCCTCACCAAGGACTACGGCAGCTCGCCGCTGCACCGCTTCAAGAAGCCCGGCTCCAAGAACTTCCAGAACATCTTCCCACCCTCGGCCACTCTGCACCTCTCCAACATCCCGTACGTGGGCTGGCGGGTCCTGTCCGGAGTGGAGCCCCCAGCACGCTGGGGCGGGGGCAGGGGCCGAGGGTCTCCACAGCCGGGTGGTTTCTGAGCCCAGTGGGGTGTTTCTCTGCTTCTAGTGGACGGTTCGGATGGCCAGGTCTTAAGGTGTCCTGGTTCTGGGCCTCTGAAGGGTCTCAGAGTCCCCGGGCTGCCTCGGCCCTCTGAGCACTGCTGTCCTGAGGGGATGGCCTCAACCTCCCGGGGCCTGGACGCAGCTCAGGGTCCCCTCTCCCCCCAGGCCCTCCATATCTGAGGACGACCTCAAGATCCTCTTCTCCAGCAACGGCGGGATCGTCAAGGGATTCAAGTTCTTCCAGTGAGTATGAGGCCCTTCTGCTGGCTGGCCCGCCTGCCCCTCCCCTCCCCTCCCCGCCCCTCCTCTCACGCCCGGCCCGTCTTCCCCCCACAGGAAAGACCGGAAGATGGCGCTGATCCAGATGGGCTCCGTGGAGGAGGCCATCCAGGCACTCATCGACCTGCACAACCACGACCTGGGCGAGAACCACCACCTGCGAGTGTCCTTCTCCAAGTCCACCATCTAGGCCCGCCACCGAGGACCAGCCGCCGCGCCCGGCCACCACTTCCATCATTCCAGAAAAAAGCCACTTTAAAAAGCAGCTGAAGTGACCTTAAGACCAGAGATTTTATTTTTTTAAAGAGAAATCAGTTTACCTGTTTTTAAAAAAATCAAAATCTAATTCACCTTGGGGAGACGGGGTGCCGGCCTCAGGCTCCTGGCGACGGTGGGCAGTGCGCCTGCCCCCGCCCTGTGCCTTCCGCTGCCCGCAGGGCGGGCGCCCCAACCTCCACGGCTCCCCTGTGCCTTAAACCTGCCGCTCCCCCCAGCAGGCCTCGCGGTAGAGGCGCGTGGGCTTGGGGCCGTGGCCTGGCGGCTGAGGCCGACCCCCATGTAATCAAGTGTGCGACCCCCAGGCCGCCCCCTTCAGCTTCGTGATCTCGTGCTTCGATGCACTGCACGCCCGTGCCTAGCAATATCTCAGTTGACCAAATATGCTAATCTTTTTTCATTTATATGCAAAAGACATAGTTTTAAGTACCTTTTTATAGCGAGATGATAAGAATGGTGTGAGTGTAACCTGTCTCCTCCTCGCGCTGTGACCTGTATACTGTACTTATTTTATTCCTGTAATGAAGTCGCAGGGCAGGGTCCAGTCTCCAGGGCGGCCCCCGATGCCTTACACCCGCCTGTCCTCTGCCCCGAGGACCGGCGCTCCTCAACTTTCAGGGCTACTTTTTCCTGCAAATTTTGGACCAAAGTTTTCTGTTGCGTCTGCCCCTGACGCTGGGACCCCGGATGGGACCAAGGCCCTGGAGTCTTCACTGTCTCCTTTGGCCTCGTCCTGCCCTCGCGGGTCCAGGGGGCTCCCTGTGCAGACCCCGAGCTGGCCGTCTCTCCCTGGGGCCTGGACCCCACGTTTCCAGATGGGGTGAACAAGGGTGTAGATATTTATAATTTTTTATACCTGTTGTAAGATGTGAGGGGCAGCAAACGCGGTTTTTTATGGGGACACACAGATGTATATTTTGATAACAGCGACTACAGGCTCAGTATTGTAACGGAGCCCGGCGTCCACTGCCCGCCGGCTTGTAATGCGGAGAGAAGCGAATTAAAGCAATTTTATAACAACCCCGCCTCGTCGTGGGCTCGTTCTTGTGTCCCTAACCCTAACCCGCTGTGGGAGGCCGCGGCCCGGCTGTACAGAGTGAATAAACCTGATGCTGCACTGGCTGCTTGGTCCTGGGCTGTCTTCACTGCTGTTCCCGTCTCCCTGCTTCTAAGGGATGGGGGGCTGTGGGTCCGGGGTGGGGGGCCTGTTCTGCTGGTGTCTGCCCACCCCTCGGGGTTGGCACGGCCCTGGGGCTCCTGTGGATCCATCCACCGCCCCTCACTTCCTGGGGGGCTCTCCTGGGTCACACACTGCAGTGTGAACCTCGCTGCAGGACGTTCGTTCCCAGTGTAGACAGGCTTTTAGCGCCCCATCACGGTGGCGCAGCCACAGACAAACGCGGGCCCTGAGAGCCCAGAGCACCCCAAGCCGACACAGGTGGGGCTGGGGACCCCGGGCCTGGGGCGCGGCCGCGGGCCCTCAGACCAAGACGACTCGGGAGCCAAGACCCCAGTATGGACCTTTATTGTGTGACCGTGAGATGCCCCCGCCCGGCCCCGCGTGCACCCCACCCCATGCTGCCCCCCCCCCGGGCCCCACTCCCCGGGGCCTGACCAGCGGCCGCGCCCCAGCCCGGCCCTCAGTCCTTGAACCTCCGCGCTGCCTGCATCTTGCGGTAGTAGCTCTCCGCCTCGGCCTCGCCCGAGGCCTCGCGCTCACCCAGCGCCAGGCCGCCCGCTTTGCGCCGCAGTGTGGACTCGCGGCTGCCCGGGCCCAGCGCCCCGTCGGCCGCGCCCAGCGGGGGCAGCCCCTCGCCCGTGGCCAGGTTCACGGTGGCCATGGCCCCGAACCGCGGCTCCTCCTGGTCCACGTCGCTGATGGACGAGCCGGGGGACAAGCCCGGCGGCTTGGGCCCGCCCCGGAAGCCGCGGGCCAGGTCCCCCAGCTCGTAGCCGCCCTCGCCCTCCACGCCCTTGGCCCCGCCGCCCGCCGCCTTCCACTCCCAGGGCCCGTTACCCGCTGACAGGTGGACCACGGGGTGGTGGGGCGCGTGTGCGTCGATGGTGACGATGCTGGCCGAGTCGCGGTCCGACGGCGAGCGGTACTGCGAGGAGTCGGAGCTGGCGCTGGAGGATGAGGCCGTCTCGGCCGCCTTGGGGCCCGGCCCGCCCGGCGCCTTGGACATGGCGATGACCTGCAGCAGCCGCGGCGGGTTGGCCACGCGGGGCTGTGCGGGGGCCGCGGCCACGGCGGCCCCGCTCTTCTCGGCCATCAGGAGCCACTTGGCCCGCACGGCCGCGCTGCTCTTGGGGGACAGGCCGGCCACCGCCTGCGCGCCCTCCTCAGGGATGTGCACCAGCGGCTGCGGCCCGGCCCGCGGCGGGAGAATGACCCGAGGCCCAAGCCCCGGCCGCGCCTGGACGGTGGGGTAGAGCGAGGGCGGGGCCGGCCCCCCTTCCTCTCCATCCTCCTCCTCCTCCTCCTCCTCCTCCTCCTCTTCCTCCTCCTCCTCCTCCTCGGCCATGGGCTCGGCCGGCGCCCGCAGGTGCCCCGGGCTGGCCTCGTCGGGCAGCCCCAGGCCGCGGCCCTCCAGCGACTTCTGTTTCCACTCGCTGATGAGCTGCTTGGAGCGCGAGGCGTCGAGCGGCACGTGGATGGTCATGTGTCGGCGGGCGGGGTCGTCGAGCGAGGGTGTGCTGACACGGGGCAGCGTGTGGCTGAAGGTCACCATGCTCTCCTTGCCCATGGGGCTGCGCGGGGCCAGCAGGTCCACGTCCACGCTGGCCCGCTTCAGGCTGCCCAGCGAGGTCTTCTCGCGGCCCACCGGCCGGGGCACGCCCTCCAGCCGCCCCGGCGGGCCCAGCTCATCGGTGCTCACCGACTTGTTCTGCTGGTACACCGAGTCGTGGCCCCGCTGCGTCAGCGCCCGCAGCGCGTCCTTGGCGGCCGCCGGGGCAGCCGGCTTCTCCGAGGGCGGCGCCTGGAAGTGGCCCACTGCGTGGCAGGCCTGGGGGTGACACGGGCAGGGCGTGAGGCCGGCGGCCGGAGACCCGGGTCCCCACACGCGACAGACCTGCCGTGGAGTCTGAGGGGATGCCTGGCTCTCGGTGGGGAAGTCTGAGCGGGGAGCCCACCGTGTTGCCAACATGGCTAAGTCCAGCCTCGGCCACTCACTCCGCACATTAGACAAGTCTGTGCCCACGAGATTCTGACCCAGCATCCAGGGGACAGGACTCATCAGAGCCCCAGGACAGGGACAGGCTCCCCCCAGACC